TCTAGAGAGAGAAACAAGTGGCTTTAGCTTGCCGAACTTTCTTCAACAATGGCGGTTTCCTAGGGTTTGAGATCATATTTGATCGGAAACTCTCTCATCTAGATCGCGAAACTTCCATGGAAATGCCCGGTAGAAGATCTAATTACACTTTGCTTAGTCAATTTTCCGACGATCAGGTCTCGGTTTCCGTCACCGGAGCTCCTCCGCCGCACTATGACTCTTTGTCCAGCGATAACAGGAGCGCGGGAAAAAATAACAGCGGTAACAACGGGAAAACAAAGGCGGAGAGAGGCGGATTCGATTGGGATCCTAACGTTGCTGATCATAGGTTGAGTAATCAGCCGAATCGAGTTGGGAATATGTATTCTTCGTCCTTAGGGTTACAGAGACAATCGAGTGGGAGTAGTTTTGGTGAGAGTTCTTTGTCTGGGGATTACTATATGCCTACGCTTTCTACGGCGGCTAACGAGATCGAATCGGTTGGATTTCCTCAAGATGATGGGTTTAGGCTTGGGTTTGGCGGTGGTGGTGGAGATTTGAGGATACAGATGACGGCGGATTCGGCTGGAGGGTCGGCATCTGGGAAGAGCTGGGCGCAGCAGACGGAGGAGAGTTATCAGCTGCAGCTTGCATTGGCGTTGCGGCTTTCGTCTGAGGCAACTTGCGCCGACGATCCGAACTTTCTGGATCCCGTGCCGGACGAATCTGCTTTACGGACTTCGCCTAGTTCAGCCGAAACCGTTTCACATCGCTTCTGGGTAGTGGTTTAATTGCCCTTTTGTTCGTTACTGTTTAGCTTTTGTTTCACAAAATTCTTGACTCTTGTGGATTCCGAACTACTGGACTATTGAGGGAGTTCATTGAAAGCTTAGAACTTGTTAGAGAAATACGTTATCTTGTTTACGAAGTACCAACTAGATCTCCTAACCAAGCGTTGAATGGTCCGAAGGTATCAGGAAAGAGATCTGGGAAAATTAAGAGTTCTTTAGTTTTTAGAGGTCGTAGGTGTTATTGCATCATGGGTGTTAATGCTATCGGATGCTTCAGGAGTTTTAGAAGGTTTAGAGGATGAGTTTATCAATAAGTCATGTTTGCTCTATGCAATCAAATAATGGAATGTGTAGTGAATTACTTAATTGCCATTTGATCTCAGTTGCTGTTCTCCATTACTTTGAGCTCAGTAGAGAGCTGGTAAAGGAAGCTCTGCAAGAGCTGTAAAACATAATGGCTTATCATAATGATTGAAAGCTAGAGATGTTGTGGTGTATGAGCTAATGCATACTTTGCAAGAAACAACTGCATTTGTTGTTGTTGTTTTAGATGCAGATGATATATATTGTTTTAGATGCATTGCAGAGTATGATTGTTTTGTGTACTGCATCAGGTCAATGGCTGCTTATCGTACTATGATAAAGTTCCTGATGGGTTTTATATGATGCATGGTCTGGATCCATATATTTGGACCTTATGCATCGATCTGCATGAAAGTGGCCGCATCCCTTCAATTGAATCATTGAGAGCTGTTGATTCCGGTGTTGACTCTTCGCTTGAAGCGATCATAGTCGATCGGCGTAGTGATCCAACCTTCAAGGAACTTCACAACAGAGTCCACGACATATCTTGTAGCTGCATAACCACAAAAGAGGTTGTTGATCAGCTGGCAAAACTTGTCTGCAATCGTATGGGGTTTGTAGTCACACAGTCCTCATAATCTTTTTGAAGTACTCATTTTTTATCTTCCTCTGATTTCTCACATTGCTTGATGATCGTTAATTCTCACCTCCTTCAGGGGTCCAGTTATGATGGGGGAAGATGAATTGGTTCCCATGTGGAAGGAGTGCATTAATGGTCTAAAAGAATGCTTTAAAGTGGTGGTTCCCATAGGTAGCCTCTCTGTTGGCCTCTGCAGACATCGAGCTTTACTCTTCAAAGTGAGATCCCAACTTCGATGCTATTGCCATGACATTTCAGACGAATCTTTTGGAATGGTCATATAAATTAACCTGCTTCAGCCATTTGTTTGGATAGTAATACTTGTGAAGAAACC